TCTGAAAGAATATCCCTTGATCTTGCACAGGCACTCCCGGCTGTGCCTGTTCCTCACACTACCAACTCGGGGCAGGTGAGTTACTACTCTCTTCCATTCGATCTCCCGCATCACTTTGGGAGCCCTCAAAGTTTGACATCTATTAATATCAATTTACTAATGTATTAGCAAGGATAACATACTAATCACCTTATCAGATCAGAAAAACTTAATTAATAGTTGGCATGTATACTTTTTAAAACAAAAACAAATTTATTTCAAACTTAAAACCAATTAAACCATAGCTCCAATACCATTAAATGTAAAAGCCCTAACCCGTACTCGACCCGAATACGAATAGGAGGTGTCACATTAACTTTTCAAAACATATGTAATTTACAAATAATAACAAATTAAAAATTCTTGATCAAGATAAAAAGGTATAAACCTTAACTTAAATAATATAATCATTTCACATTCATATTTACAAAAGCTTGATAGTTTTCATAAATACAAAATATAGGAGTTTAGAAAATCGATCAGAGCATTTCAAATTAAACGAATAATACATGCCAACAGTTTACAAAATTAACACAAAAACCTACATTTAATTTGTCCTGATCTGATCTTAAAGTGGTATGCTATCCTCGACAACTCAGTCTTCTGCTTTCTTCAAACCTATGCATGAGAAAATCACACGCTAAGTCGATGACTTAGTGAAGAAAATACTAAGAGTGCTAATCTTAATAATCAAAATATTTTATAAAGAATTTCAACTTATTTTCCATATCACAAAGGTATACTTATGTATATTTTTCACTTTATTTAGCTTGGTTTCAAATGCCCAATGTATACTACTGAGAACTCTAGGTATTTGAGTAATATGAGGTTGTGCACTAATGTTTCCACCACAACTCATAATTTGCATCTAAGTGCCACATAATTGACCCGAATGACCACATAGGTTTGCACCGAAGTGCCACATATTTGTCCCGAAGAGCCACATAATTATCCCGGAAGACCACATAAAACCCTTGACTCTTAGCGTGCTAACTATACCTTTAATCCTCGTACCTTTACTTTGGGCTATTAATTACATAATTATGTTCAATCATTATTTGAAGTGTCTCTTATTCACATAGTTACTTTCACATAATGTCTTTTCACATACACTTGTTCAAAGTTCACGTTTCCATAATCATTTAATCATAAAACATGGATTATATAATATAAATTGAATAAAACATTGTAATATAACATAAAAGAAATTATAAAGTTTTCGATTGAAAACATTGAGGTTGGCTTATCGTAAGCCTTCCTCAATTCTGTTACCAAACCGAGAAGTTGCACTCACTGAAGTTCTAAGTAAAATCCTTAACCCTTTCAAATCGATACTTAATATGTCGAGCTGACCGGAAGTTAAATACATTCAACAACTACACAAAATAATCGAAAATCAATATCGCACATCGAATTACTTATATCCAATCAAAATAACTTATATCAATACCTCCTCAAGGTATCGATATCTTTCTGGCATTCTATAATTGCATCTTAAAAATGCTATCGATAGCATCCCTATGGTATCGATACTACCAACTCAGTATTGATATCTTCTTCAACTGGTATAGATACTACCCTTAAGAAATACATAGATTTAACCCTTGAAGTATCGATACTGTTCTAACGGTACCGATACTCGAAGTAGAGAATGACTATTTTCACTTCGAAAATCACCCAAAATCTTCCTAAAGCTTTTATTTTTATCACATCTTAAGCCTTTAAACTCACCCTTATACATCCACACTAACTTGACTTCCTTTATTACTCCTAATTATCCAAAATCCTGTTTGAACACTTGAATCTCAAAATTATACCAAAATTTCAAGCATGTTCTTAATCGTTTTTAACACTCCTAACTCTTAAGTTAGATCATTGACAAGTCAAATATCTCAATAGAACTTCAAAAACTACTCTATATCAAAATTTCATTTCTAAACCTATTTTATCAATTCATCTCTAATTTTCTTATCTTGTTGTTTTAATCTATTACAAGCTTCCTTAAGATTTATAATACCCAAGCTACCAACACCAACTTAAATATTTAGAAACCAACCAAAAATCATGGGAACTTACCTTTGCAATGGCATTCAACGGTAAGGAGAAAGAAGAGAAAAATGTTTCCAAAATTTCAAACATGTTCTTAATCATTTTTAACACTCTTAAGTTAGATCATTGACAAGTCAAATATCTCAATAGAACTTCAAAAACTACTCTATATCAAAATTTCATTTCTAAACCTATTTTATCAATTCATCTCTAATTTGATCTTGTTGTTTTAATCTATTATAAGCTTCCTTAACCTTTATAACACCCAAGCTACCAACACCAACTTAAATATTTAGAAACCAACCAAAAATCATGGGAACTTACCTTTTCAATGGCATTCCACGACAAGGAGAAAGAAGAGAAAAATGTTTCCAGACTTTTCCCTTATTCCATGTGTTACATTCCTTAAAAAGAGAGAAGATAAAATCTTTCAAGTGAAAAGAGCATAATACCCTTCCCCTTAACCCAAATTAATATCAAATCCTAATAGAAATTTCCACATTAAATCCTTAAATTTATTAAATTATTCTAATTCAACCACTAAGTTTAAAATTCTTACATTTTAACCACCGACCGAATGCTTGGGATATTACAGTTCCATACGTCAAAGTGGAGGAAGAAGCTGTAGAGTGCTCTTTCAAATCCCTAGAGTTTGTTAATACCACATTCGTGTTTAAGGAGAAGAAAAAATGAAAGCCCAGGCTGTCCAGTTGTACCAGAATGGGACTGAAAATGACTCTAAAAAGGGGAGCCAAGGTTGGAAGAGGGCTGGGGTGCCACCTATAGGGATCCGTCAGTCCATTTTTTCCCATCATCAAGATAGACCGTTTTGGCCTGAGATACCACTCAACCTGTAAGGAAAGCTGATAGGTATTCAGAAGAGCCAGGAAATGAGGAAATCAAGACTACTCGGGGATGATATTAAGTGAGAGCCTTTGACTTTCATCCATTATATGATACTTTCATATCCGGGGGCCATATGTTTCAGGGTGGTCGGTCATCTAAAGAGACAGTTGATGAGAATGCCTTAAGGGATTTAGGCATCAATGTGATTTCAGAGGATGAGATTGAAGAAGGAAGAGCTATGGGGATCTATCTAGCACCACCATGCTTTGTGCTAAATAATTGGACTGCAGAAGAATTACCTTTTATTTACAAAACTTTTCTAGAGTAATGCTCAAAAACTTTCCCTATTGTCTAAAACCCAGAGTAATATGTGGTCTTTTATAAAGGGTTAATCTATTTGTTTTTTAAAATATTTAATGAAAGATGCATTCCTATCAATTCACAAAGTGGCAAACATTCTCCCACGCATATTTTTTCATTCTTTATTTATTATATATTATTATTCATTATATTTTGATATGTGATAGTTTTCTCCTGTATGTGTGTATATATATATCCTATCGTTTGTTATTCTTTTATGACCTCAGGTATCAATAGTATGAATATTGATGACTCTGTCACGGAGATAGATTTTGAGCAGCCTATATGTTAGGGGAAGTCGAGGGTTATGATAATGACGAAGAATGTGACTTACATTCTGAACTGCTAAAAATAGTAGAGAGAGAAGATAAACAAATTATGCCTCATGAAGAGCCCATTGAAAATTTGAATTTGGGATTAGAGGAAAATAAGAAAGAGATAAAGGTTGGCACCACTCTATCTTCTAATGAACGACAAAGTCTGATTGAGTTGCTTCAAGAGTACAAATATGTGTTTGCTTTGTCATATAAGGACATGCCAGGTTTAGATATTGAGTTAGTGGGGCATAAATTACCGATAAAGCCAGAATGTAAGCCGGTACAATAAAAGCTCAGAAGGATGCGACCCAAAATGCTTTTAAAAATTAAAGAAGTAAAAAAGCATTCGATAATGGGTTCCTGAAAGTATCCAAGTATCCGGAATAGGTAGCAAACATTTTTCCAGTACCTAAGAAAGATGGAAACGTTCGCATATGTGTTGACTACAGAGATCTTAATAGGGCGAGCTCGAAAGATAATTTCCCTTTTCTACACATAGACAACATGGTGGACAATACTATCGGAAACTCTATATTTTTATTCATGGATGGATTTTCGAGATACAATCAAATAAAGATGCATCCGAAAGATATGAAAAAGACTACATTTGTCACCGTGTGGGGTATGTTTTGCTACAAGGTGATACCATTTGGGCTAAAGAATAGAGGGGCAACCTACCAAAGAGCCATGGTAACACTTTTCCACGACATAATGCATAAATAAATAGAGTTGTATATTGACGATATGATTGTTAAGAACAAATCATAGGAAGAACGTGTAGAGAATCTAAGGAAACTCTTCAAAAGATCAAGGAAGTGCCAGCTAAAACTCAATCCAGGCAATTGTACCTCCGGGGTAACGTATGGGAAACTCTTGGGGTTTGTAGTAAGCAAAAAATGGATTGAAGTAGTCCAGACAAAGTCAAAGCTATTCAGAATTTACCTCCCCCGTAAACATAAAAAGAAGTTCGAGGATTCCTAGAAAGATTAAACTATATCACCCAGTTTATTTCACAATTAACTAAGAAGTGTTCTCTATAAAAATAACCTAGGGGTATGGAACGATGATTGTCAATGAGCTTTTAAAGCAATAAAGGGATATTTTTGAATACTCAGGTCTTAATACCACCGGTCTCAGACAAACCATTAATTCTTTACTTGTCAATCTTTGATATTTCAATAGAGGTGTATATTAGGGCAGTATGACCAAACCAAGAAAAAAGAGAGAGCAATCGACTACCTCAACTAAAAGTTCACTGATTACGAGGCAAGGTAGTCACCAATATAAATGTTGTGATATGATTTAGTTTGGAGTACTCCAAGGCTCAGACAATATATGTTGTATCATACTACTTAGCTGATCTCTAGACTTGATCCTCTGAAATATCTAATGGGTGTACATGCTTTATTTGGGAGATTGGCTCATTGGCAAATTCTATTGTCTGAGTTTGACGTCCAGTATATAAGCCAAAAAATAGTTAAAGGGAGTGCTATAGCATATTTCATTACAAGCAGGGCTTTAGAAGAATATGAACCGCTGAACTTCAATTTCTCAGATGAAGTATTAATGGATATATCAACTGAAGAGGGAGTTTCTCCTACTGATGTACATTGGAAGATGAATTTTGATGGTGCCTCGAATTCCTTGGGACACGGGATAGGGGTAATTTTGGTCTCGCCTAGTGGAGAACACTATCCTATCACCAGTCGGTTGAACTTCGATTGCACAAAAAACATGGCTAAGTATGAAGCATGTATTATGGGTCTTAGTGCTACCATTGAGCGTAAAGTAAGAACACTAAAAGTATATAGGGATTCAACCTTGGTGATTTATCTACTTAGAGGTGAATGGGAAATGAAAGATACCAAGTTGGTGGAGTACTGAAAGTTGGTCCCGGAGCTCATCAAAGAGTTTGAGGAAATGACATTTCATTACCTCCTTAGAGAAGAGAATCAAATGGAGGATGCTCTAGCCACTTTGGTAGCAACCTTCAAAGTAAATGAACGTTCAAGTATGATGCCAATTGAGATGCAAACTTATGAGTATCCAACCCACTGATATAGCATAGAAGAGGAAGATGATGGAAATCTCTGCCATTATGATATCCTGCAATACATCAGATATCAAAGCTACCTTAAGTAGGCAACTAAGAATTACAAAAGAACTATTCAAAGAATGGTTGCAGGTTATATTCTTAATGGCGATATCTTGTACAAGAAAAGTCATTATCAAGTTTTGTTAAGGTGTGTGGTCGACAAAGAAGTTAAAATGATCATTGAAGAAGTGCATGAGGGAGTATGTGGTGCCCATGCTAAAAGACATGCAATGGCTAAACAAATAATGAAATTTGGGTATTATTGGTCGACCTTGGAGACCGATTGTATCAATTGTGACAGAAAATGTCACAAGTACCAGATTTATGGAGACAAGCTCCATACCCCTCCTTATCCATTACACGTAATGACTTCTCTATGGCCATTCTCTATGTGGGGGCATAGATGTCATTGGGAAAATTTCACCCAAAGCTTCCAATGGTCACCATTTCATATTGGTGGCGATAAACTATTTCACTAAGTGGGTAGAAGTGGCTTCATATGTAAATTTCACTCAGTCAAAAGTTTGCAAGTTCTTGACGAAAGATATTATTTATCGATATGGGCAACCAAAAAGGATCATCATCGACAATGCCTTGAATTAAAACAATAAGATGGTGGAATCAATATGTAAGTAGTTCTAGATAAAGCATCATAATTACACCACTTATCACCTAAATATAAATGGGGCAGTAGAGGTAGCCAATAAGAACATTAAAAGGCTCATAGAGAAAATGACTGAGACTTATAAGGACTGGTATGAGAAGCTACCATTTTCTCTGTTTGCCCATACTTCAGTACGGACTTCAACTAGGGCAACTCCATTTTCTTTAGCCTATGGGATGAAAGCTATGTTACCTATTGAGGTTAAAATTTCGTCACTTCGGGTGTTATCAGAGGTTAAGCTAGATGAAGCAGAATAGGTACAAGCTAGAAGCTGAATCTGATTGAGGAGAAAAGATTAAAAGCTATTTGTCATGGGAAAATGTACCAGAAGCGTATGATAAGGGCACATAACAAAAAGGTTTACCCACGAGAGTTTCAGGAAGGAGATATAGTACTCAGAAAGATTTTGCCAATTTAGAAAGACTTTTGAGGTAAATTGATGCCAAATTGGGAGGGACCATATGTTGTAAAGAATGCATTTTTCAGAGGAGCTTTGATCATCACCAAGATAGATGGACCAGAGTTACCTAACCCTGTGAATTCTAACGATGTCAAGAAGTACTTCGCCTGAAGAATGAAAAATGAAAAAGAAAAAATAAAGAAAAAAGAAATGAAAAGAAAGAAAGAAAATGAAAAAATGAAAAGAAAAGAAAAATGAAAAATGAAAAATGAAAAATGAAAAATGAAAAATGAAAAAAGAGAAAAATAAAAGAAGAAAAGAATAAAAAAGAAAAAGAGAATAAACAAAAAGGGGGTTCAAAATGAAAACCCGTAAAAGGCGTCTTGAAACCAAATGAGATCTCAAGTTGAAAAACCGCAAAGAGCGTCTTGAGAATTGTGTAAATTCAGAATTCGTTCATGGTGAAGGTTTTGAATTAGTTTTGAAGACTTAAAATGGTGGTCAGGGTTAGGAATAAAAATCGAGAGGAATTGAAATGGTGGTCAAGGTTAGGACTGGAATAACCATAAAATAAATGAGATTCAAATACTGGTTTACATCATCCAACATTCGAAGAATTCCACACCCTTGCGCATTGTCACCATCCTTAAGATCCCTTTGACAGAAGCTACACTCTAGTCATTCTGCGGTGTGCCAGTTCAAAAATATTCGTACTATTGATATCTGGGACGGCTACTGTGTTTTCTTTTGATTATTCCAGTTAAAAGTTTGTCATGTATTTACCCAAAAACTCTTCATTTATATCAACGAAAAGATGTATTTTTCTTGTTAAACCATGTTGCAAGCATCATAATTAAAAATTAAAAACTTGTAGATTAACTCGAGAAACATGAGATCATCGTGTATTATTGTTCAAAAAGTTTTGGAAAAGTGCAGGTATTCCGAAGATGAAAATGGCTTTAGCATGAGGCTTACATGATATTGGGCTACAGAAAGTTAAAGCCTTGGGCTACACGTACAAGCTCAACAAGGTGGGATGATCCAAAAGGTTTATCACCGATCAAGTAGATGGTCGTGAGTGGTACCTTGGTTCAAGAGTAAAGAGAATCATAGTCACATTCAACAAAAGAGTGTCCGACCAGAGTTTTCAGTCAGGGTGAACTGTTGATTTTTCGTGCCTAATATTTGATTGAATTACAAGGCTGTTGACAAAAGAGAGTTCTCATTTGAAAAGAAAAATACCCTAAAGAGAATTACACCATTGCACACATTTTAGGCATAAATAAGATCATTACATAAAATGCATAGTAATGATAAATGCAATTAAATACTTACAGATTCTCCAAAAGGAAATGATGGAGATGTAAGGATCCAACATAAAAGTAACCAATTTAGATTTCCATGTTTGGTAGTGGCAATACAAGCTCCCATAGGAGAAATCACTTTCCAAAGATTATCCTCCCAAGACTTTCAGGTATGATGTTTTTGAATCCTCAAACACATACTAACAAGGGTTAATGTTTAATTTTAAAATTTGATATTCTTGAAGACAAGAAAAGTGAATCGAACTCAATTCAATCTTCCCTGAGTAACAATGGAATGAATCAACGTCCCCATATCTGATTTTTTCTCAAGAAAAAACAGAATAAATACTTCTCTTTGAAGATTTGATATTCACTGAATAACAGTGGAACAAGTCTGCCTCAATTCAATCTTCCCTAATAAATAGTGGAATGTAATTAATGTCCCCATATCTGATTTCCCTCAAGAAAAAGCAAAACATATCTCTCTCTTTCAAGATTTAATATTCCCTGAGTAACAGTGGAACAAGTCTGCCTTGATTTAATCTTCCTTGACTAACAGTGGAATGAATCAATGTCCCCAGATCTAATTTTCACTCGAGAAGAAGCGGAACTTATCCCCCTCTTTCAAGATTTGATATTCCCTGAGTAACAGTGGAATAAGTCTACCTCAATTCAAACTTCCCTAGAGAACAATGAAATGAATCAACGTCCCCAAATCTGATTTTCCCTCAAGAAAAAGTAAAACAGATCCCTCTCTTTCAAGATTTGATATTCTCTGAGTAACAGTGGAACATTCTACCTCGATTCAATCTTCTTTGAAGAACAGTGGAATGAATCAATGTTTCTCGATCTGATCAAACCTAGAGAAACGGTGGAGTAGATCTCTCATCAGATTTCAAAGCATGGTGTCAACCGGATGAAAACTCACTGTCTTTTCATCTTTGCCCTATTCTTGTTAACATAAGAATGCGCAAAGAGGGGCAGTTGTCAACAACGGTTTTTGTCCTGATGTTTTTATATTAAGATTATTATCACATTTTTTATCTCAACCTTTAAAAAACCCAAAATAGGCCCAATCGGGCCCCAAAAGCAGTCTGACCCAGTACAACAAAACCCCCAATCCGACCCAAACCGAAGCCCATCATCAAGAGTGAAGCTCGCTTGGAAGCCCAGTTGCTAGGGTTTCTCGCTTCATTGCCAAGCCCCTCATCATCCCAGTCGTTGGATCTGGGAGAGATCCAACGGGCCAGATTAGTCACCACCTTAAGGCTTTACCCTTAGATCCAGCCGCCACTCATCTCAGTCGCACGATCTAGACCAATCCAATGGTCCAGATCAAGCCTCGACGACTGCCTATTTCCACCAATCCCCAACCACCGATGGTTTCATTAACCGAAGCCCATGCACTGTCAGACCACCCAAATCAACACACAAGCAACCTTAACACAAACCCACATGCAAAGACATAATCATTGTATTTTAAACGATAAAATATATGTAAAATCGGGTTTTATAAAGCCTAAATGGAAATATAAAGGGGGTTTCCCTTTTTGATTTGAAAAAGCAAAAAAAATAAGAGCAGAAAGGGATTTTTTTCTTATTCTTGTTTTATTTCCATTTTTGAAGAAAAGTAATAATAATAATAATAATAATAATAATAATAATAATAATAAAAGGAAAGCAACCAAGCTTGCATGTAACCAAAATCAGAGAGAAGAGGTCTAGGAAAAGTACCTGAGTCATGGGGAGGTCTTCATGACGATCGAAGCTCGTGGGAACCGAAAGGTCGATGTCTTTTTGGGTCGTGTATGAGTGTTTTAGGTAGTTTAAGTCCTAAATCTAGGTTCAGAAATTTCAAGTATCGATACTTTGTACATGTGTATCGATACTTTTTGCGTGCAAATTGTTTGAAAAACATACTGGAATAAAAGTATCGATACCTATATAAAAAGTATTGATACTTTATGTTTACGCCTATTATCATTAAACTGGTAGATTTTTACCATTTACATTGTAAATTTACTTATTACTTTAAAGTAATAGGTTTCGAAATTCAAGTATCGATACTTTATATATGTGTATCGATACTTTTTGCATGCATATTGTTTGAGATGCATACTGAAATTAAAGTAATATAACAAAGTATCGATACTATTTGTTTACGCTATTATCATTATACCGATAGACTTTTACCGTTTACATTGTAAATTTACCTATTACTTTATAGTAATAGGTTTCGAAATTCCAAGTATTGATACTTTATATATGGTTATCGATACTTTTTTGTGGGTAAATTATTTAAGAACCATACTAGAATAAAAGTATCAATACATATATAAAAAGTATCAATACTTGGACATTTTCGTACTTTGCATATATTGTTTCAAAATTATAAAAATCGATACTTTAATAATGTGTATC